AGCACTCTACTACACACACACACGCATTCATACAGCACTCTACTACATCTCTACAAAGATGATCTGAATCTGTAGAGAATAATCAGAGCTTTAGCACATTCATTGTGGGTGAGTTGGGTGGAGGAGTAGGACCTGAGTGCAGGTGGGTGGGTTGATGTGGAGACGTGAGATACTGAAGGTTGTTGAGGGCTTTGAAGGTGATGAGCAAGATTTACAGGAAATGTGACATTTAATGGAAGTGAAGATGCTGCAGGACAGAGGTTAGGTGACTGCTGGGAGGAGTTCTGGAAATGATGCAAGTGGCTGAGCTTTGGACCAGTTGGGCTTTATGGGTGGATTTTGTAGGAAACTTAAAAGAATAGTTACAGTAATCTATAGATGTGGTGTGACCAAACAGTGGCTCAGAACAGCAGCACTGTTGGGTGCGAGCCATGTTGCACATCTGTGTGTTAGTAAACCAGTCTGTGTTTGGGTCTGTTCAAGCCACGCCCCCTCATCTATTTGTCCACATCAGCCTCAGCAGTGGCGGACCTAGCCATTTTGGGTCCCAAGGCAAACCTTTGTAGAGGGGTCCTCCCCCAAGTCTGCCTTAATGTAGCCGTCAGATTCTGGAGGGCTGCCACAATTTTCATACTGCAATACTGCGAACCAAACGGTAACACATGAGGGGTTTTTTTTCTACTTGATAAATACTCATTAAAATTAATAGAAAAACCTTTTTTTTTTTAATTATAATAAAAAAGTGCTAACGCAAATCTGACTAACAGTCAACACTACTAAAGTACAAACTAATAGCAGGGTAGAGGTGAGCAGTATAGTAAAAATATAATTTCCTAAATTAGCAGATCTTTTATAACTATCTCAATTATGTTAGTGTCACGTTGCATCTTGTGACAAGACACGGCTTTAAGATCATAAAGTCAGTGTGTTTGAGAGAGGTGGATCTTGGAAGAACATCCAAACACTGGTCCATTACAAGTGTGGAGGGGACTGGACGATGGACGGCAAGACAAGAGAGACGCTTGTATACGCTGAAAAAGGACGACAATAAAAAGTTGTTCAGGCTGTAAAAGTTATCATTTGTCCTTTTTTTCTATTTACAATGTTACTTACAGGACATATCATTCTGGAGAGAGGAACATGAAGGAGTGTAACTGTAATCATCAAATGTTCAGAAATGTATAAATAAGTCGTACAATCTGATCAGTCGTATAAAATAATTTTTTTTTGTTTTACTGAAAAGACTCACAACAGGTTAACTACAAAATGTACAGAATGATGTCATTTATTGATAAAATGTACTACGTTTTACTCGTTCTCCTCTAGGCTCCATATTTCTGTATTATGCCTCTTTCCCAGGAAAGTTGTACTCTTCGTCCCTTCTTTCCTCTTCCTCTACTTTATTGATATAAAATGCTGAAACAGCTGAACATTTCAAAAGTTTTAAAGATATCAAAACTGAAAGTCATAGCAGGAATCTCCTGAAGGAACCGAACGTTTTGATGCCTGAACTGTTGAAATTGCTTAAAACTGCAGGAGACGGTAAAAAAAAAAAAAGAAATTTATGCTTAACAGCATTCACACAACTTATTAATTTTTTTAATTTATGTTTTTATTAATAAAATGCAGAACTACAAAACACTACAAAAGAGAAAGATGTATACAAACACTCGTGAAGGGTGTCAGAACTACAGTTTACAAGCTGGGGGGGTTACAAAATGATGAAAATTGAGTAATACATATCTAAAAAAACATTAAATGAAAAGAATTAACATGAGAAACAAAAAGGAGTAAAACAATGAGAAACTTAAAACAACAAGTTTTTTGATATCTGTTGTGAAATGGTTCTAGCAGTTTTCCAGTTTTTTAATCTACTTATTGAAGAATAGTACAACTTGAATTTGTTCATAAAACACGGGAAGGAGGGCTGATTGTCCCTCCACTTACTACAATGAATGTGGTACTTTGCTATAAGGATGACTATATTTATAGCATGAGAGTAAGCTGAGCTTAAATTATCCATATAAAATAAAATGGCATCAGCATCAAAGGGAGGAATGTTAAGTTTTAGATTAATCCAGTTTGTAATGTCAGTCCAGAAACTTTGAGTATTGACATGAAAAAAAACAAATGTTCAAGAGATTCGTCTTCAGATTTACAAAAGGTACACAAATCCACCTCAAATTTAAATCTTCTGTGCAGAAGCATGGCTACTGGATAGATCTTATTTATTATTTTAAAATGGTTTTCTTTCACTTTAGGAGATTTAGGCCATTTGACAAATTTCAAATGAGCGGAGGTCCTTATGGTTTTATGATTTATATTGGGAGGTTTCTTGAATGAATCTTTGTTGTAATCATAGTAAATCGTTTGTCGCATGCATTCATTGATCATCTTGTTACATTTGAGATCAACTAAACTACAGTCATTTAGTTTTAATGTGGGCATCGAAACGGTCACCTTTGAATATAGAATGATATTTTTAATTAACTGAATCAAGGCTAAAGGGATTGCTTTACATACCTTCATAAAATCTTTATGG